TGTTACTGACTCTTTACCCAGTATCCATTCTCTTTCCTGATCAATAGTCCCTGCCTTTGTTTGGGTTGTCATATAAAATACTCATTATTCCAGACCCCTTTGTAGTGAGGGAGTATCACATAATTAATTTCCTATTAATGAGACTAAGTCAGAGATCTGCTACTTATGTCTGGGAAATATTCTTGCTGGATATTACAGTCCAGATCTTTTCAAATAGGAGCAGCAGTCAGGTAGCAAGGGACATTATATTTTCTGAATCTCTGACTCTTGAGTTCTATAGATTTTATAATGAAAATTTATGTGTCCCATCCATTCCTGAAACAAGCATTTATTGATTGCCACTCTATGCCAGGCACTATATAGGAATGATGTAGTCAGATGGTTGATACTGGGTAGTTGAGTCCTCACTAAATAAGTTCCCAAAAAGCAATAGCAGCTGGGTCCTGGTGGCTCATGCCTATAATCCTGGCTATTCAGCAGGCTGAGATCTGAGGATCAAGGTTCAAAGCCAGCCCAGGCAAGAAAGTCTGTGACTCTTTCCTCCAATGAATCACTAGAGAGCTGGAAGTAGAGCTGTGCTCAAAATGGTAGAGCACTAGCCTTGAGAGAAAAAGCTTAGGGACAGTGCTCAGGCCCCTGAGTTCAAGCCCTATAACAACAACAACAACAGGCAGTAGCAGCTATTCCCAGTAAACTTAAACCCAGCAGTCTTTATCACTTTGTTCCTCATCTCTTTCTTCTTCACTCCCATCCCAACTTTAATGTTCTCACTGCATTTATCCAAGCATCAGCTTTTTTTTTTTTTTTTTTTTTTGTCGGTCATGGGGCTTGAACTCTGGGCATGGGCGCTGTCCCTCAGCTCTTCAGCTCAAGGCTAGCACTCTACCACTTGAACCACAGCGCCACTTCTGGCTTTTTCTGCTTATGTGATGCTGAGGAATTAAGCCCAAGGCCTTATGCATGCGTGGCAAGCACTGTACCACTGAGCCGCCTACCCAGCCCCAAGCATCAGCTTTTCTAAGTGTTTCTCATGTGCCTAGAATACCCTGTACTTTGGCTGCATATTTGTTTGTATTTTGTAAACATAATTTTTTACTTATTAAGGTTTCAAACTGTTTTTTTTACAATTAAACCATGTGATGTTACTAATGTATCCTAAACTGTTTTCCAGTATCAACTCATCATGTGCTCGCTCCAAAATCAGCTGTCATTGAGTGTTATAACATATATAGTTATAACCTAGATGGGTGGTCTATAGTCCCAAGCTTAAATGAGCCAGGCATTCCCTGACTCAGCCCCAAGGCACAACAGACAGATAAAAATTGAGACAGTAGTAAAACACTTCAGACTCATTAATTTAGTCCCAAGGATTAAAGCTTTAGGATTTTCTGCCATGAGAACTCAGCAGGCTGGACAGTGGTTGAAGAGACCATTGAGTTAGGTATTGGGAATCCTAGGATTGTCACTTTGCTTTTGAAATTTTTGAATTATTGTTATTTGTTTATAAGTGTGAGTACTATTATAAAGGAAGGTGTTTGGGCTATTTTGAGAATCTGATGAAAACTAGTATTTTCCTCCAAAATAATATACACAACTGGGTGCTGGCAGCTCACGCCTGTAACCCTAGCAAGAGGCTGAGATCTGCCAGCCCAGGCAGGAAAGTCCTCGAGACTCTTATCTCTATGAACCACCAGAAAACCTGAAGTGGCACTGTGGCTCAAGTGGTAGAACGCTTGCCTTGAGCTGAAGAGCTCAGGGACAGGCCCAGGCCCAGAGTTCAAGCCCCATGACCAACAAAAAAACAAACACACATTAGAGAGAATACACAGAAACTTTCAGGATGTCCAAGTGACTTGCCCTGATGTTGAAAGCTTTTTCTGTCCTATAATTTGGTCCTTTCTTATGCCATTTTCATTTTCTTTCATGTGTGTATGTTCTGTCCCAATAAATGGACAGGCTTCTCACAAGGAACATATACTTCTGTACTACCCCCCAGTGATACATACATACATACGTGTGTGTGTGTGTGTGTGTGTGTGTGTGTGTAGGAACCACAGCTTATAGGAAACATTTGCCAATTGAGTCCTTTGACGCTGCTGTGGCTTGCTGAGGACAGGCAGTTTTCAGCCCTCCATCCTCTATCCTACCTCCTTCCAATACAAAAATAAATAACTTGGATCCTACATTCATGGTCTATTTTCTTTCTTTAACATATAGCTGCAAATATCCACTTCTGGATATTTCGGAAACAAGGCAGTGCCTAAACGAAAGCTTTCTACCAAAAAAAAAAAAAAAAAGCATTAACAAATAAATGCACTCTATTATCTTAAGATTTTATGATGTAGTCAGCCCTTCGGCACTGTACTTCACCCCCATACACACCTATTTAGTTTATTATTACTATTATTTAAAGTGCTGGGGATTTAAGCACTCTATCAACTGAACCATATCATATCCCCAGCTCTACGAGGCATCTGTAATCAGGACCCCTATCGAACCTATGTTTAGTTATTTTTCAAACTGCAAGCATAGGGAATTTAAAAGATGAATAAATCTAATACTAAGGGCCAGCCACTTTGGATCCTAACTTCTTTGAACTTGCAGGCTGTTCCTCCTCCAGTCCATATCTCTTGACTATAGGCCATTACAGCCATCTTGTGGCCATACAGGGAAAGGACGGATGGATTGTCTCCAGCCTTCTCTGGTGAGAGGAAGAATTTAATTTTATTGGTTGGATCTATGGGAAACAGGAGAAATCTGTGGGTAAAGATTATGGCACAGGAGCCATATATCCTATCTCTTGACTCCACTTTACCTTCCTGTACACAACCACCACCCACCCACTAATTAGTACAGACAGATGAAATTGTTGATATCTGAGTTCATTCAATCAAATTTTATTGAGCTGCAACTATGTGCCAAGCAGAGGGAATATAGCAGTGAACAAGATATCTATCTTCACAAGCTTACAATCTAGCGTCCAGCTGGACAGTAAAATCTGTAAGTTTACAATAGTAATTAGAATTCTGAAAAATTCATAGTGCTGAGATATAACAAAGTCTTGGCCTATACCAAGAAATCAGAAAAGGTGGGCTGGGATGTAGCTCAGTGGCAAAGTGCTTGCCTAGCAAAGTGCAACGTCCTGGGTTCGATCCCCAGTACCAAAAAAGAAAATACCAAAAAAAAAAAAAAAAATACAGTTAAAAAAAAAAGAAATCAGAAAAGGTCTGAGGAACAAAGAAACATCTAGGATCAGGAAGGTGGAAAGTGGGAGGAAGAATATGGTGATCAGAGAGTATTTGTGAAGATTCTGAGGAGAGAAAAGAACTCATGATTTGAAAGCCAGCCAGAGTGACTAGGGCAGAAGAAAAGAGAAATATTATAAACTGACATATGCAAGGTCTTTGAATTTAGAGTTTTATTCCAAAAACAAATAGAAGCTACTGAAGAATTTGAAACAGAAAAGGAAGAGTTTTATATTTGTTTCCTAGAAGTCATGCTGATAATAGTGTTTGGAGGAAGAAGCAGAAATGGGAGGCCAAGATAAGAGTTTCCTTTGCAGTCTAGACAAGTGATAGTTACTTGAAGAAAACAGAACCTACTTGTAAGTGTCTGGGTATGAAAGGAAATGGATATGGTTTTGGCAAGAGGTTCTAAAGTAGAAGATTCTGGAAAAGGGACAAGTTTGGACAGATAGGCACAGTGAGCACAACCCAAAGGTACAGGCTCTAAGGCTGGTGGGAGAAGAACAATATAGTTTTGTGGATTTTTTTTTTGTCAGTTCTGGGGCTTGAACTCAGGGTCCAGGCACTGTCCATGAGCTTCTTTTGCTCAAGGGTAGCACTCTACCACCTGAGCCATAGCGCCACTTCCAGCCTTTTCTGTTTATGTGGTACTGATGAATCGAACCCAGGGCTTCAAACATGCTAGGCATGCACTCTCCCACTAAGCCACATTCCCAGCCCAAACAATATAGTTTCGGTTCTCAAATTGTACAGGGTTTAGTTGGACAAACTAGGTACACAGAAAAGTACAGAGCTTACTAAATATCACATTGTTTCATCCATATAATTAATGAATCCCTGAATTCCATGAGACAAGATAGAAAGCCACAGTGAATTCAGAAACTGCTAAAGCCAATAGGGATATCCCCACCCTTGTTCATACTTCCAATAGTTAAGCCCTCAGAAAACTCCTATGCAGGGCTGGGAAGGTAGCTCAGTGGTAGAGCGCTTGCCTTGCATGCATGAGGCCCTGGGTTCAATTCCTCAGCACCACATAAGCAGGGGAAAAAAAAGCCGGAAGTGGTACTATGGCTCAAGTAGTAGTGTGCTAGCCTTGAGCTGAAGAGCTGAGGGCCCAGAGTTCAGCCCCCATGACAGACAAAAAGAAAAAAAAAGGTACATGCTAAATCACAGGGCTTTTTCCCGTTCTAGTTTTTCTTCGAGTCAGTAAATATTCAATTCTGTCTCAAAAAAGTCAGCAGAGAAATCTTGCTATGGGATTACCAAGGAAGCAACATCGATAGCTATTGCTTGGCTGCTACTCAGCCTTTCCTTGCTTCCGCTTTGACCCTGAAGTACACTCTTAATTAACTCTTTTCTAACACAATAACTATTGACTACACAATGAGTCTACCGTTTCTCATCTTGCAACAAGCCTATGACAAACCTGCATTCCAAATATTTAGTTTGAGAACAGCAGTTAGGCAGGCTAAAATGCCTCACATTAGATCCAGTCTGTTTACACTGAAATGAACATGGCCTTTGGCATTAGAAGGACTTGGATTTTCATCCTGGCTCCTATGATTACTAACTGACGTACCTTTGTCCTACTGTACCAAGGTTTCAAAAGACCAGAGAAATACTGTTGGTAGTATTTGCCTTAAGGGGTAGTTGTAATAAAGAGAGTACGTAAAACTCCCAGCATATTTAGCCTGAATTATCTGATAACTATTCACTTCCTTTCTTTCCCCTGAACCTCAGCTGCTAAATTCTCCGCTAAAAGGAAGATAACCATTTTGTATGGCCAATAACAATCGTTTCCTACTTCTGTCTTTTGAAATCCCACACTCCTACAGCCATCCCATTTCCTACATTGCCAAAGATGTTCTTCTAGTCCCCATCCTTGTGTAGCTCTGTTTTTCCATCAAAAATATTTTGCCTGAACTCCTTCTAACTCCTCCTCTACATAGCCCCAATCCAAGATGCTGTCTTCTCATATCATTCCTAAATATGAACTACTTCACTTCTAGGTTCTCCCTAATTTTCACAGAGTGAATCATAAAGGAGCTAGAAAGTACAATCCTTAACACTTCAGAAGGATATGGGGAACCAAAGGCCAGTTCCCAGAGGAGAATGGAGGTCTAGGTCCAGGCACCATACCCCCCCACCCCCACTTATTTTCCTCCCAGGCATAAAAAAACGCAAACTCAAAATACATCTTGAGTCTACATGAGCATACATCTGCTTTCCTATAGCTGTGTGAGATCGTCATTGAAGTAGAGCAGTATCGCAGGTGTATGGAGTGTACCATCCATATTAAGGAGATCAAATTCTTCCTCCTCATCCTGGATCCCATTCTCCTCCAGGGTCTGCTCCATGATCAGGGGCTTTCCTTCATATTTCCACGTATAGCTGGCAGCATGTGCATTGTAGGGGAGATAGCGGTGTAGTATTTCCCACATTGACTCCAGAGCTCCCACCTGAAGAACACAGAAGTACCTCACCTCTAGACTTTTGGATGGAACACACACACACACACACACACACACACACACACACACACACACACACACACACACACACACACACACAAGACCAGTAGCTTAAGACATGAGAGCTGGGACCAGAGTGTCTCCTTCTACCTATATAGCAGCTTCACACACTCTACAGTCCCTGAGGTATTGAAGGGTACAATGAAGACAGCCAGGAGCTGTCTCCTCACTTCAGTCTTGTAATGTGGAGTCCAACTGCTCTCCAAAACGGCGCGTAGAAGCTCCCAAGGATCACCATCACTGAGATGCTGACCTGGGCTTATGAAGGGCTCTCTGGCTCTACTAGAATTTCCAACCCTAAGGACCTGGAGTCACTGCTTTCCTCAGTCACTTCACTGTAAAAGGGGAGAAAATACAGCTCCCAGTTGTAGAGAAAAGTTTGTTGATTTGCTGTGATTTCAAGTTTCCCCCGTCTAACCCCTCCACAGGCACTAGATCTCACCTCCAGTGTGTGCTCCTGGGACGTGAGCGTGTTAATGATGCGGATGTTTCGGGTCTTAGGGGACAGCTGTCCCACCCGGTAATCAATCCTCTTCCACCAGGGTTTCCCGAAATCATTGGCCCAGTCGGAACGGGGCAGCTGCGGCGGGACGTGCACGAAGCGGCCCCGTGGGGTGCGATACTTGAGGCAACCCGTCATCGGATCTATGTGCTTTCGGATCTTTAAGGCAGGGTTTGGGAGAAGGGTATCGGAGCAGTCACTGAGGAAACGCGTTCTGGCTACTGCCCGCATTTCCTACCCATTCCTGCTCTCCGGCGCCCCTTCCCCTAGCCCCGGGTCTAACCAACTTACGTCTTTGGTCTTTGGATCAAACCAGTGGCTGATGTCCTGGCCTGCAACTTCCACGATGGGCTTCAGCAGCAGGTTCCCTGGCAAGGAGCAGCAGCGATCAGTGCCAAGCACCCCCAGGACACACACAAACCAGGACACACACAAACACCAGCCGGGGCCCTTACCCTTGTACAGCTCTGCCAGCGGCGTTAGGTTGTACACGTAACCCAGGTAAGATACCCAAAGGTCTTCGCACTGGTTATGTTCGGCTACCTCCGCCGGCGTGAAAAAACGACGTTGGAAAGATTCAAAGTTTGGTCCAGCCACTAGGCCCCGGGGCCACATGGCTCCTCCGTTGCCGATCCTGGCTGCCGCCTCGCTTCCCGACACTCGGCACACTCATTACTACATACTCCCTGCTTGCCAGGACCTGAGCGTTTGCCCGGTGACATGGAAACGATTGTCCCTCTCCGGCCACCGTCCACTCAGATTAAATTTGCCCAGGAGAGGCGGGGCCTGGGCTGCGTGTAATGACGGGAAATGTAGTCCGATTCCGACCTGGGGCGCCTAAGTATCGAGTGATGGAGTTCAGTCTGGGAGAAAGCGAACACGCTCCGATATAACTCAGGGGCCCAGGCTACGCCGGGTATTTAAGGGCAACTTAACTCCCAAGGCAGAAAGAGTGAGGAAGAGAGTTCCGCTAAGCATGTAGGTTCCTAAAAGGCGAGTAAGCAATTTTAGGTAAACTCGCGATAACTTAAGACATCCGGCGTAATAGGCCTCGGCCGCAACGCTGAAGTAGGAGCTCGCGAGATCTCTGCAGTTGCCGAGGCCACGCGGAGGAGGAGTGATCTCGCGAAAGGAAAGAGAGAGCGCTCGCGAGAACTCAGGCCGCCCGTCCCGAAAGGTTCTCAGTAAGCGTAAGGGCCTCGAGGAGCCCCGAGGGGCCCATGGCTGGAGCTGGCCCGACCATGCTGCTACGAGAGGAGAACGGCTGCTGCAGTCGGCGTCAGAGCAACTCCAGCGCTGGGGTTAGCGCGGGCTGGGGTTCCGGGATCCGGGGGAAGTCGGGCAGCAAGATGGGAGGGCGGAAGGGGCAACTGCAGCTCCCGGCAGCCCTTGGGCTTCGCGTGAGCGCCCCGCGGGCTGTCGGGAGCTGTGGTTCCGCGGGAGGGCGGCCGCCGGTCCGAAGCAACCTGAGAACGTGTCCCGCCCCCCGGCAGGATTCGGACGGGGAGCGTGAGGACTCGCCGGCCGCGCGTGCCCGGCAGCAACTCGAGGCGCTGCTCAACAAGACTATGCGCATTCGCATGACGGATGGGCGGACACTGGTCGGCTGCTTCCTCTGCACGGACCGCGACTGCAATGTCATCCTGGGCTCTGCACAAGAGTTCCTCAAGCCGTCGGGTCAGTGCCCGAGGAATGCACACCCATCTGGGAATGTGCACGCAAGGCATTTACCCTTCTGGGCCTGACTGCACTGCACCCCGTGTTTTCTGGGGCTTGTTTTGGTGGGTCAGAAGGGGAGGGGACCGACGCTGACCTGTCTCCCTCATGCTCTGACCCTTCTTTCCAGATTCATTCTCTGCGGGGGAACCCCGTGTGCTAGGCCTGGCCATGGTCCCAGGACACCACATCGTTTCTATTGAGGTGCAAAGGGAAAGCCTGGCGGGGCCTCCATATCTCTGACCGTGATCGTGCATGTCTTTCAGACTTCATTAAATATGTAACTGAAGCAGCCTATCTCCGTGTAGATCTCATGCCAGGGCACGGACAACATCTACATCCGAAGTGAAGACTCTCAACCCTCTTCCCCCCCGGGCTAGTGCCCAGAAGTGCCAAAGGTGGGGAATGGGGAACAGACTGAGTTCTAGACTGGTTTGCCCTAGGGTGGACCCCTGCATCTTCCCTCCCACGCAGCAGCTCCTCCAGAGTTGTGGCGGGAGGGGGTGTCATCCTGCTCAGGAAGGCCCATTGTTTCCCACCCCGGCCTGGCAATGCCGAGTTCCTCTAGGTTGAGGTCAGAGAACGGACTTCTGTCCCCTAGGGGAGCTGGGGTGAGCCGAAAAGATTCCTTCCCCGCTATTGATGGGGAGGTGACTTAAGGGTCAGGGGCAGAACTCGGGTCCGACCAGGAAGAACAGACTAATGCGATAAGGGAAGGCCTGGAGGCTGCAGGATGCTCTGGTCTGTGCATTTGCAGTCTTCGGAACTCATTTCCTGCTCCTACACCGGTGGGGGTGATGGTATTTGTGCCACCCTTCTGTTCACAGAATGCATTCAGCTTATAAGTTCTTTATTAGTGTGTGATCTGTCTGCTCAGCCCCATAAATACTAGAGCTGCACCAGAAAAGGACGACACAGGTTCAGTTGTATTCACATTAAGAGAGGAGGAGGAGGAAGGGTATGCAGGGGCCAGCCCAGATGGTCCAGATTCACTGAGAGAAAAGTAGGTTTTCTGAGGTGTGGGATTTTTCACCAGTACTGACTGGGTCCACAGATGCTGTTGCTTGCCAAAGGGATTCTGAGGACCTGGCTTGGGCAAGGGCGGTGGCAAAAGCAGAACATCTCTGGGTTTCAAGTCCTCAAGCCAACCAGGACCCAGCCGACAGGGTTCATCCCTCCTCAGACCCAGACCTTTCCTGGTATGGGAAGGACCTGGGACCCTGGTAAGGCCCGGCTCTGCCGCGGCTGTGGGGCGCGCCGGCGCCTATAGAGGGCTCGGCTGTAGGGTACAAGACAGTCGGCCAGGCGGAGGCGCAGGCAGAGGCGGCGGTAGCTGGCCAAGGCAAGCACGAGGAGCGGCACGAGGAGCAGGAATCCAGTGACCAGCAGGGCCGTGAAGCCCGGGTCTCGGAGGTGCGCCGTGCAAGGGGGTGCCTGGGAGCGCAGGAACTGTGGGAGAAGAGACATCAGGCTCAGACCGAGCGGGACCACACTGCAGAGGGCATGGAAACAGCCCAGATGGGGAGCAGTTGTGGCTCACAGATCCTATAGCCCCGCGCGCATATCTTGGGGCGCATGCTCACCTGAGAGTGGCAGAGGAAGCCGAAGCCCAGCATGGTGACAGCGGGTAGCAAGATGGTCCCCAGCACTATTACCAGCAGGAGAAGATTGAAGGCAGCCACAAGCAGGTTCTGAGCTGTTACTAGGACGGCGCAAGCCCAGCAGTCTAGGGGATCTCGTGGCTCTGGGCCACCCCCGAGACCAGGTCTCTGCGTTGCGGAGGCGTCGGCCATGGCCCGGCTGACTGTGGGCCGCCCGGGCCACAGCCCTTATAGCCCTCTTTCCTGCCCCTCCCCCCGGCCCAGCCTCTCCTCCCACCCCCCCTACCCCCCCTTATCCTGGAATGCAGCTCCAGGATTAGGCACCCCCACCCTAAGGAACAGCTCGGAGCCCGGTACATTCCACAGGCGCCTCCCCGAGGGGCTCTGGTTGGGGTCTGTGTGTAGTCCGGCCCGCCCAGAGGCCCCCCCCCCCCCCGTACTCGGCCCTGCCATCACCAGCACGTTATCAAAACAGGATTTTTTCTTTTATTTTTTAATATTAATATTCTCACACAAAAAATCACCGGAAATTGGGGTAGGGTTGGGAAGACCCCCCTGCCCCTGGGGCAGAGAGACAGTGCAGCGCGAAGGGGCGGGACCGCAAACCCGCACCCCTCCGCAACCCCAGCGGGGAGAAAACAAACGAAGAAAATGAACAGAAAGCCCCCGAGAAACTCGCCCCGGGGTTCCCTGCCCCAGGGAGGCCGAGGCCCGGGGATGTGTTTACGTTTTGGATATTTTTTTTCCCCTTAAAGCCGGGCAGGAGCCGGGGGAGGGAGGAAATGGGAATGAAAGTCCAAGTTTTTAATATTGGCCGGGGCTGGGGAGGAGGGGGTTTCTTTTTCCTCATAGTTCTTTGTTTTAAACTTTTAATTTTTTTATTTTATTTATTTTGTACAAAATACCATTTCAGTTCCCACTTCTTCCCCTACAGTACAGGAGTCGCTCACCCTCAGGAGGGGTCGGGTCGGGTCGGGAGTCGGGGGACTGGTCTGAGAAAAGTGCAGGACGTGTGGGAGGGGAGCAGGTTTGAGCACCATGAGAGCCTGGCAGGAGCCGCAGGCCGGGGGCGGAGGGGGGGGCAGGCGGAGACTGACGGATGGGGGCAGAGCCCAGACACATTGGGGCGCGCGAGTCCCCGAGGGGCGGGCGGGATGGCTTGGGAGTGCGGGAGGTCAGGTTTTCCCAAAAAAAAAAAAAAAAAGAATAAATAGAGGTGAGTGGGACTGTTATAAATTAAAAACCAAAAACAAAAAAGGAACAAAAAATACAAATCATAACCAAGTGAATAAACAGACATGTACAGGGATCACAGCTAGCATTGGAAATTTAAAAAAAAAAAAAAAAAAAAAAGGAGGTTCTGGGGAGGGGTAAAGCCCATAGAAAGAATCTCATTAAAAACCTCGGCTGCCAGTAAGTCTATGTACACGCGAGCGGGCGGGCGGGCGCGGGGGCAGGCGAGGGAACCCGTATCGACCCCGCGCCGCCGGAGCCTGGTCCTTGTGTCTCTTGCTAGAAAGGCCAAAGTCGGTGAGGGGAGGCGCTGGTGGGCGAGGGGCTGCCAGCCCCCTCCCCCGTCTCCCTTTTTTTTTTTCTTTTTTTTCCTCATATTTGTTTAAAAAAATTCTTAATAAATTAAGTGAGGGGAGCTGCCAATAAGGTAGAAGGGCCGGGCCCGACCCCCTTCCCTTCCCAGCCAGAGGCGGGACCCAGGTCCAGCCCAGGCGTGTGCTGGTGGCCCCGCGGCGCCCTGTGGGCCGGGCGGGCGGGGCGTCCGGTCTCATCGCGACGTGCTGGCCGGGGCCTGCGGGAGAAAGCGGGCTCGGGTCAGTAGCCCCTGCCAACGGCCCGACAGCTCAGGCAGTGCCACTCCTCTCCCTCCCTCCCCCCACCCCCCGGCGGGGCCCTCACCAACGTGAAGGCGTCATAAGCCTGTGCCAGCTCCTCTGTCCGGTACTGCTCCAGCACGACCACGCCCTGCAGGCCCGCGCTGCGCCGCCGCGCGCAGCCCTCGCAGTGCACCAGGTACGTGTTGCGGCTGCCATTCTCACTGGTCACAAACAGGATGTTGAACACCTCCACCTGGTGGGAAGGGAGATGAGGTCACTGAAAGGCTGGGTGGCAGTGGGCACCTCTGGGCAGGGGAGACAGAGCTGGAACTAGAGAACACTCACGTCGCACTCGTTGCAGTAGTAGGCAGGCTCATCCTTGACCCGGCCCTGGTAAGCGATTTTCTTCCCTGCCCGAACGAGGCTCTCTCGCTGCACCTGGCAATGCTTCATGGATTGCAGGAGACAGAACCTGGGAGGGAGGACAGCGTTTTGAGCAAAGCTACCAGCAGGGGCTGGGCCAGAGTGAGGCAGAACCTCTTTTCCAGCTAACACTCCCTGTGTCGACACCCTTCAATCCCCCCCATCGCTCCCTTTTCTTGCTTGGGTTACATTTCCAGTCCTGGGTATCTGTTGACATTTCAAGTGTTTTGTTTTTTTCCTATTTAGATCACTGGAAAATAAAAGGCCCGGAGAGAACAAGGATAGTCAGGAAGAACAAGCTAGCGAACACATTAGAGAAGATGGGCTTCCACCAAACAGAGTCCTCACTTGATCATCTTGAACAAGTCAGGGTCGCTGATTTTGACTGTGCGAGCCACGTTCCAGGACACATGAATCATGGGCACGATGGATTTGACGTTCTTCACCTCGTTCCACTCGTATCGTTCCAGGGCCAGCTGGTACTGATAGGCTGCAGGCCAGAAGGAGTCACTAGAAGAACCTCAAACAGCCCGGGTCCTTTTCCTCATACCTTACTATTCTCCCAACCCACCTCATCCCTGCCCCTAGGGATCAACCCCACCACTCACTGCACAGGGACCTAGCCCCACCCTCTCACCGGTGAGAGGCCCGACGTTCCAAGCAATGTTGTTGCACCAGCCAGTGGCCTGCACCCAGTGCACAGTCCCCGCATTAATCCACACCAGATCTCCAGGGCGCTGCACAAAGCGGTACACAGGAATATTGGAAGCGTAGAGGTCATCCAGTATTGGCCACCAGGAACCAGTCAAGTAGTCCACGCCATGCCTGTAGGGTGGGCAGTCATAGTAGGGTCAGGTAGGAACCTTGGGAACCAGGAACATGACACAGTGAGGTGGCTTGTGAGAGGGCTATGTGTACCGATCGCAGAAGGCGCTGATGGTCTCCCAATAGTGCTCATGCACAGCAAACCATTCGCAGTCACCAGGACCAATATTGATGTTGACAGAGCAGAAGTTGTTGTTCTCTTGGTGGCCTGCAGAGGGAGACAGATAACCTCATGGCAGGCCTGATAGGAATTTTTGCTCTATGACAATGCTGTCCTTTGCCCCTCTCACACCCACCCATCCCCACAGGGTGTGCAGGCTCAAGAGCATACCTGGTGTTCTGCTGCCAGGGACCTTCATGTAGAGCTGGACAGTGTTCATGCCCAGAATAGTGTGGCCCACATGGCTGAGCATGTTGCCAGTGGACGTTACCCGCATGAAGGCAGGCAGTTTTAGCAGCTCCTGTAGTTGGGGCTTCCATCTGGAGGACAGACAACCGAAGTTAGAGGGTACCCTGACTGAATGTCCAGCTAAGTTCCTGTCCTCACTCTGCTGCCCCAGCCCCACTGACCGCTTGGCATCAGACAGGTCGATGTTGGTGCCAAACTTGATGATGTGATGATTCTTTGGGTCTGGCGCACTGCTGCTAAAGTAAAAGCGGACAGGTGGGTAGAGCGCACAGGGTAGAAAGGAGCAAGTAGGGATACAATTGTATTGTACAGTACCTAGGAGGAGTTCCTGTGGTGCTGTCTGGCTCCTCTGACTCCTCATCTTCACTCTCCTTCTCCTCCTGCTCAGAGGGGTTAGGCAGGCCTAAGTCAGTGACTTCCAGGAGCCTTTCCTGCAACTGGATCCTAACAACCACCTCCACCCACAGTTGCCCCTCACCTGCAGTGACTCCTGGAAGGATGAAGCCTGGTACTGTGCATACTTGGCAATGGTGGTATGGGAACGGGAGCTCTCACAGGGCCAGATTTGTCGTGTGCCAGTCAAGTCCCAGTTCTCATCCGAGGGCTGTTGCACCTGGGTGCGCACCTCCACAGTGTGCTCCCCACTCGCCTCCACCAGCGTCTTGGTGGAGAAGAGGCCCAGGTCTGCAATGGAGGACCAGAAAGAGGGTTGGGGAAAAGGCCAGGGATATGGAGCCAAACTGACCATTTCCCTTGGCTTGGCAGAACTCCTCCCAGGCGAATGGGCAAGAACCACAGCCCCATGTGAGGAGGGAGGGCAGACGCTCTCTAGGTTCTCCCCAGCCCCATTCCTCCCCAGCCACTCTAGGCCCCAGCCCTTCCATCAGGCCTCAGGGGTGTATATGGCCATAGACACACAGCAGGAGGAACTCAGTGAATATTGACACCTTTAAATTACCGTTGGATCCAATTAAAGATACAGTCAAACCAAGACTGGAATGTGCTTCAAGTCACTCGGGAAAGAAGCATAGATGGGTATAAAAGGAACAAGACTGATTTTCATATTTTTACATAGTTTCCTACAGATTTGGACTGTTTGAAGTTTTACAAAATGCAAGGTTGAAAAAGAGAAAGGCCCAATCTGTGGGCCTTGGAGACGATCCACAAATTGTATTATTTTCATCCTTAATCACCAAACAAGAAATGACTGTAGGGCTGGGAAGGTGGTTTAGTGGTAGAGTGCTTGCCTCGCATACATGAGGTCCTAGGTTCGATTCCTCAGCACCACATAAACAGAAAAACCAGAAGTGGTGCTGTGGCTCAAGTAGTAGAGTGCTAGCCTTGAGCTGAAGGGTTGAGGGACAGTGCCCAGGCCCAGAGTTCAAGCTCCACAACCGACAAAAAAAAAAAAAAAGAGGGCTGGGAAGGTGGCTCAGTGGTAGAGTGCTTGCCTTGCATGCCTGATGCCCTGGGTTCGATTCCTCAGCACCATATAAGCAAAAAGAAAAAAGCTGGAAGTGGCACTGTGGCTCAAGTGGTAGAGTGCTAGCCTTGAGCTGAAGAGCTGAGGGACAGCGCCCAGGCCCAGAGTTCAGGCCCCACGACTGGACCAAAAAAAAAAGAGAAGAAATGACTCGGCCAGGCGCCGGTGGCTCACGCCTGTAATCCTAGCTACTCAGGAGGCTGAGATCTGAGGATTGAGGTTCAAAGCCAACCCGGGCAGGAAAGTCCATGAAACTCTTATCTCCAATAAACCACTAGAAAAACCAGAAGTAGCTATAGCTCAAGTGGTAGAGCACTCGCCTTGAACTGAAGAGCTGAGGGACAGTGCTCAGGCCCAGAGTTCATACCCCACAACCAAAAAAAAAAAAAAAAATGACTCTAACCAGGCCCTGAAATACATCTCTTTCCCATTTGCCCACTGCCAGGGACAGACAGACAAGATTGATGAGAGAAAAGCCCAAGGCCAGGAATGTTCCAACATTTGGAACATTCCTTAAACATGGTCTACACGTGACTATGTGAGCCTGTTATTGCCACCATCCCAGGTCTTCAAGTGCAGGGGTTCTCAGAGGGTCCCCTACCCCAGATCTTTAAAGACCTCCCATACTTTCTGCCCTCAATACTCACTGAGCCGCAGGGAGCCTGCCAGGCCCCGGATGACGGTGATAGGATTTCGAGGGTCTGTGCAGAACTGCAGCAGCACTGGCGAGAAGGCATCTCGCTTACTCTCCAGCTGAGAGATGACCAGCAGAGGCTGTGATCAGAGCCTTGTTCTAGGCATGACCACCCCAACCACCCCAATACTGTCCAAGACCCTCTTGGAGGGGTGGTTTTTGAGGATATAAGGCACACATACATAGATGCTGGGTGTTGGAGGGTTGAGTTTCTCCCGGGGCAGCTTCTCCTCAGTGTTGATCTTCGGTTTCACAGACTGAGCAGGGGAAAGGTAGGACTCTCGAAACTTTCCTTTCACCTTGGCATTCCTGTGGGAGGGCAGTGGGATGAGAACAAACCCTGAAGTCCTGGGGGAGGAGCCTACTCTTGGGCCAAGTAGGATAGCCTTGGGTGTGACGGCCCCCACTCACTTGCTGGCACGCACGACATCGGCGGCGCAGTGGCTAATGGTGAGGTCTGCCATGCGCAGCCGCCGCTCCTCCACCTCAGAGGCGATGAAGGTCTCCTTGTCACCACTCTCTACCTTAATGAGGCGTATCTTCAGCTCCTTCGGGGGCCCCTCACTCAGCGAGCGCAGCTTCAGCATGTCGGCCCGGCTGACGCCTGGGGGCCCTGGAGCCTCTTCTCGAGCCTTCTTCCCGGGAACAGGGACTGATGGGGGAATGGGTTGGGCAGAAGGTACAGGAGCTGACGTGGGGGCTGGGGCTGTGGGTTGCTTGACTTTGGAGGTCCCACCTAGATCAGGCCGGGCCTTCTCCCGCCCCTGGATCTCCTCACTCTGCAGGTCTAGGTTCCCCAGCACGCGGCGGCTCTTTTCTTTGGGGGCCTTGGTCTTGGTCTTGGCCCGCCCCTCGCGGGGCCTGCGGCCCACACTGTCTTTGCAGGCGCGCCTGTGCCTCCGATGTTCCTTGTGTTCCTTCTGTTGCTCCTTCTGCCGCCGCTTGCTGCTGCCTGGCCCTGCTGCCACCCCGCCACTCTCCTCCTTGGCCAGTACAGGGGGTAGCAGGCGTTCAGTCCCACTGTCCACCGGGTCGGCTGGATCCACTGGGTCGACGGGATCCACGGTACTGCGGCCCACCCGCTCTACAAGGGTCTCACAAGCCCGACTGATCTCTTCTAGCACCTCAGACTCAGAGCGAGCAGGGGGTGGTGGCAGGGGTGGGGACAGCTGGGCGGGGGTAGAGGGGCCTGGGGCTGGCTCTTCACCGGCCCTGAGCTGCTGGGCCCAGGGCCCGCCTGAGGTAGAGAACTGAGATGACGAGGAAGCAGAGGGCTGTGGGGAGCCCTGGGCGCTGGGGGAAACTGAAGTGAGTGGTGGGGTGGTAGCACCTGATGGGGGACCAGGGGAATACTGAGTGGTGGGCAAGGGCCCAGGGCGGGTGGAAACGGCCGCTCCAGTCCCCCGGTAACAGTACTTTTGTCCCTCCAGCACGGAGGCCAAGGATTTGAGCAGGCTGGCCGAACTGGCTGGTGGTGGAGGTGGGGGTGGGGGTGGCTGTGGCTGCAGGGGAGGGGGGAACTTGGCTAGAGGCGGTGGTGGTGGCAGGGCTGGTGGTGGCTTCTTCTCCTCTTCCTGGGTGGTGGTGGTGGTCATGGTGGTGGTGGTCGTGGCAGCAGCGGCGGTGGTGGTGGTGGTGGTGGTGGGTGGGGTGGTGTCACTGGGGAATGGAGGCTGCAGAGATGCAAAGGGCTCCTTCAGCGGGGGTGGGGGCGGGGGCGGGGGGACCACGCCTGCCTCCTGTTGCTGCTGCTCCTCCTCCTTTCGAATGGACTCATCCAGCATCTTCATGATGTTTGCCAGCCCATCAGGTAGGATCTTAAACTCGGCTGGCTCCTCAAACTGGTCCTCCAGTGGGGTTGGGGGAAAATCAAAGAGTCGAGAGCCTCGGGCAGGCAGCTCCCCAACCCCAGGCGGCACAGGTTGGGGGGCTTTACTCAGGGAGCCTGGGGGTGGCCCTGGCCCCACCTCGGGGGTCTTTGGGAAGGAGACCCTGGGCTGGGGGCTCTCCGAGCGCCTGAAACTTCCTGAGGTATTTTGGTGGCAAGAGGAGGGAGGTGCTGGAGGAAGGGCAAGAGTCAGAGGTGGGAGAGGTGGGTCCTGGGGGCTCAGTGTGGGGCTAGGTGGCCGGGGAAGGGGGTCCATACTTCTGGCTAGATAGGGAGGTGGGGGGAAGGGCACAGGCCCAGTGGGACTACTGCTGTGGCTGCCATTGTTGCCGCTGCTGCTGCTGCTGCTGCTGGTGGCTGGGGGAGTGGGAGGGGTGTGCGAATCCTGAGTGCCCACAGAAAAGCGGGGAGCCGGAGGCCCCAAGAAGCCCTCACGGTGGGGGAGGGGTGGGGGGGGAGGAGGCGGAGGAAGCGGAGGAGGAGGGGGCGGAGGGGGGGGACGGGAGGGTCCTTCAGCCCCAAAGAAGAGCTCCTCTAAGATCTCTCCATCCTCTCGTGCTGCCCGGCAGGCCGGGCCCTTCAACCAGGAAGGGGGTGGGGGAGGGCGTAAGAGGCGAGGACAGGGGGGTGGGGGAGATGATGGGGGCCCAGGTGGTAGGGACAGATGGGGAGTGGCAGCAGGAGCCCCCAAGAATGGTTTCCGACTGCTGTGTGCCAAGGACCCCAGGCGGCCCTGGTGAGGAGAGACCTCCAGTGCAGGAGTTTGGTAATGGTCAGCGCCAGGCTGCAAGATAGAATAGAGTAGTAAGATTGCTGCTCTGGGTGCTTCAGACAAGCTCCAAGTGATAGGACCACTCCAGTCCCCCCTCAAGGTTGTCACTTACAATGCCTGGGCTCGGCTCCATGCCCCGGAGACCGGAGCTGCTGCTGCTGCTGCTGCTGCTGCTACTGCTGCTGGTGGTGGTGGTGGTGGTGCCGGGGAGGCCAGGGGGCCGGGAAGGGGCATAAGGCACGCAGGTGGTAGTTGCTGCTGGTGAAACACTGGAGTCCATCCGCGACCTCTGAACTCTGCTCTCTCTAAGGTCACTTCCGGGGGGACGGGTGGTAGGCAGGCAGCCATGGCTCTCTGCTCCTGGGGGGCGGGGGCCCAGGCCTGGGGGAGTGGCTGGGACCAGCCGGTGGCTGGGGGCATGCGCGGTGTAGGCTGGAGCTGGGTATGGATATGGGTGAGGCAGCGGGTGCCGCTGTTCCTATGGGAAGTAAATGAGGACACAAGAACAGTAGGCACAGAGCTCAGAGTTAAAAGGCACACATTGTGGTGCATATCTGTAATCCCAATTCAGGAGCCTAGGGCAGGAGTTCAAGAGCTTAAAGCCAGCTCAGGCACTGAGTTTGGTCAGTGAAACCCTATCTCAAAACAGTAAAAGGTTCTGGGGTACAGTGGCTCTAGTCTGTAATCCAAGCTACCTAGAAGATTAAGATCAGGCTCAAAGCCAGTCTTGGCTCATGCCTGTAATCCTAGCTACTCAGGAGGCTGAGATTTGACAACTGGGATTCAAAAACCAGCCTGGGCAGGAAAGTCCGTGAGACTCTTATCTCCAATAAATCACCAGAAAGGGGCTGGGAAGGTGGCTCAGCGGTAGAATGCTTGCCTTGCATGCATGAGGCCCTGGGTTCGATTCCTCAGCACCAAATAAGCAAAAAGAAAAAAGCTGGAAGTGGCGCTTTGGCTCAAGTGGTAGAGTGCTAGCCTTGAGCTGAAAAGCTGAGGGACAGTGCCCAGGCCCAGAGTTCAGGCCCCACAACCGGCCCCCCCCCCCCAAAAAAAAAAAAAACCATAAATCACCAGAAAACCAGAAGTGGTGCTGTGGCGCAAGTGGTAGAGCACTTGCCTTGAGCCGAAGAGCTGAGGGACAGCGCCCAGGCCCAGAGTTCAAGCCCCATGACCGACCAAAAAAAAAAAAAAAGTTTCAAGACTCCATCTCAACCCATGAATGGTTGGGCATGCATCATGGTAGCATGTACCAATCATCTATAGGGGAAACACAAATAGAAGTCCAGGCCAACACAAACATATAAAGTAAGACCCTATCTTGGAAACAGCTGACATAAAAAGGGGCTGACAGGGAAGTGGCACTGTGGCTCAAGTGGTAGAGCACTCACCTTGAGCTGAAGAGCTGAGGGACAGTGCCCAAACCCAGAGTTCAAGGCCCATGACCGATAAAAAAAAAAAAAAGAACTGATGATTTCAGGCTGGGAAGGTGGCTCAGTGGTAGAGTGCTTGCCTTGCATGCATGAGTCCCTGGTTTTGGTTCTTCAGCACCACATAAGCAGAAAAAGCCAGCAGTGGGGCTGACGCTCAAGTGGTAGAGCGCTAGCCTTGAGCTGAAGAGCTGAGGGACAGCGCCCAGGCCCAGAGTTCAGGCCCCACAACTGACCCCCGCCCCCCCGCAAAAAAAAAGGCGAGGGGGGGCAGGGGGCTGACAGGTGTTCAAGTAGTGAGACACCTGCTTATTAGTCAATATGAGGACCTAAGTTCAAACTCCATTACTGCCAAAATAAGCAAATAAAAAATTAAAGGCAGTTCTAGGCACCAGTGGCTCACTCCTGAAATCTGAGATCTGTGGCATTTTGAAGCTAGGCTGGACAGGAAAATCCATTAGACTCTCATCTTCATGTAATCAACAGAAAGACACAATTAGAGCTGTAGTTCAAGTGGCAGAGCACCAGCATCGAGCAAAAAAAAAGCTAAGGGGTAGCACCCAGGCCCTGAGTTCAAACCCATTAGCAACAACAACAACAACAACAAAAGGCAAGGTACAGTAGATAGATAGTGGCTCACCTGGCGCTCTGGGGGTGCTGAACCCTTGCGCTCGGGGCCCCAGGCATCTCCATGCAGGCTATTCCACAGTCCTGGCTTGGTCAACTGAAATGGGGGACTGGTAGCCAAGCCAGGCAGAGGTGGTGGTGGCGGTGGCGGTGGGGGTGGTGGTGGTAGTGGTGGTGGAGGGAGTGGCAGCCCTGGGGGAAGGCCAGTCTAGAAGAGAAGAGGTTGTGAGTATCTCATTCCTTGCCCCAGACTTGCATCCTCTCTCTACCTCCTGCCCCACTTCTAGTCATACCTGTTCAGAGCTGCAGCCTCTCCTGCGCTTGCCTCCAGGACTAAGGCCCTCCTCCCCTGAGGGGCCTGAGAGTGCTGCAGGGGGCATAGGTTGTACCACTGGGGGTTCAGCAGCTCGCTTCACTGGGGGACCCCCTCGCTTAGCCCCATAGTTTCGCTTGTGCTGAGGACAAAGAAGGAGAGAAGAGCATGGGCACAGGCCTAGCCCAGCTCTCTTCCCTACTTCAGTTGGTCCCCTCCTCACCTCAAGGTGTAGCAAGTTCCACACTTGCTCCAGTGGGGGCAGAATCTTGGCTCGGTGCTGGCAGGAGCCAGCATGAAAGTTCCAGAGCTGGGCCTGGAGATCAAAAGGTAGATGAAGACATAAGGTTGGGAGCACTGAGCCAGGAAGCAGAATCTGAGACCCCCCCCTCTATCTTGCCTTATCCTACCTGCTGCAGTCGGCCAATGCGGGGCCCAAGTTCAGCAAAGCTTCCTCCATATCGAAGGGCACTGTGATAGCAACGTATGGCCTCCTCGCTGTCATGCTCTGACTCGTACAGCTGCCCAAGCTGTTCCCACAACCCTGGCTGGGCTGGCTCCCGGAGCAGTGCCTGCACACAACCATGCAGAGATTCCAGCTTCCCATGGAGGGGTCTTGGGGTGGGCGTCCTATAGAGTAGAGGGGTTGGAATGGTCAGGTTTGGGGGAACTCTCTCGAGATCCCAGTTTTATATATTACCCCCCCCAAGTCTGCAAATTCCCCCCTTACCCTGGAGCATAATATGGTTTGCTGGGGTGCCCAGAGCTACTGCCATGTGAAGGGGGTAAAGGGGCAGGGAGCGGGTGCTGCCCAATGCTGGCTGAACATCTGGAGAGAGAAGGACTCTGTTACATACAACAAGAAGGAAAAGCCCTGCCCCCTGGGAAGAAGGAAACTAAAGGAATAGTAAAAGCAGGTGAAGATGTTCCTGAAGTCTATGGAATGGCCAAAACCTATGGAGAATGATAAGAGATAAAGGAGGACAGAAGATGGGAAGGTAAGTGCCTGGCCCAATTTCTCACCTGCTTCCAGGCAGCCATGCGCTACGAGGAGGATGGGGTGGGCAGGAGCTCCAAGCCCCAGCACAGCTCAAGCCCCCAAGGGCAAAGGCTTCCCGTGCAGCGCGGGCCCCTGGAGGGTCCACTGCCCGATGCATCCAGCCTAAGTCAGGGATAAGAAATTATGCTCTTACTGGTGCCCATGTACACTCAGCCAACCCAGCCTCAGTCTTCCCCTTACCAGGTCAGCAGTGGCCCCAGGAGCCCTGGAGATCGGGCACAGCCCCCTGCCCCAGCTCTCTGGGATGATGGTCCCACTCCAGCTGCTCTAACAAGTGTGTGCCCACTGTCCCCAGATGGCAGCCCCTAGTCTTTCAAAGCCAATTCTACAGAGAGAAGAAAAAGGAGTGCAATGAGTCGCCAGCAGAGACAGGGCCCAGAGGCTCAGCTGAGGTTACAATGGCTCCCACAGGTCTGTCATTTGTGCTAAAAAGTCTGAGGGGAGGCCCACTGGCCTGTATAAGGAGCCCCTAGAGGTCCAGAAAAGTAGCGTGGCAGAAAGCTGGTACAGAACAGGAGGCTGTACTGTGAGCACCACTGGTGGCTCTATGACATTTTCCTAGTCTGGAGCCCTGGGCGCAGACCCATAAGGCCCTGGCAGCGCTTACCCGGACTCCGTGGGAGCGTCCCCTCACTGCGTCAGCGAGCTCCAGAGATCTGGCCAATCACAGGACTTCCTCTCTCCCCAGAAGGCCAATCATCACCCGTGTCTCCGCCTCAGTAACAGCCTGGTCGGAACCAATAAGAACAAGGTTAGCCCAGCAGGCAGCAGCCTTGGGAGGAGGGGCAGCGGAGCCGGTCAGACTAGCTCTCGCCTGGGGGTGACCCCGACGTGACCCCGCAGCTCCCACTTAGGGTCCCCATCTCGGATCTGTCTTGCCGGCCGGACAGGAGCGGCAAGCAAGGTCTGCCGACCAAGACCTGTGAGGGTAATGAATCGCACACTCGGCTGGCTGGCTGGCTGGCCTACAGGCAAGCCTCACGCGCCCACAGAACCGCCAGTGGTGCTGGCCAGCCCGCTCAAGTGGTACCCCTTGCCAGAATAACGCCGGACTGACTGAGGGCAGATAGATGCAGAACAGACATAGCTCTCTTCCTCATTTCACCTCAGCTACTGACTGACTTCTCCCGCCCTGAGCCCCTTTAAAAATTGCCTAGGTCTACCCAACCACAGCAACTCCTGCCACCAAACCTGCACCCAAACCAGGTGGGTGGCCGCTATGTGCTCCACCCCCAAAGCTTGACCCCGTACCAAACCACGGTCACGTCCCCATCCTCAAACCCAGCTCTTCCACTTCCCCAGGCTCTCTGATCTTCAATACCCACCGACCCTCTAAACCAGCCCTTCTTCCCCCGTAGTCCTCCAACTTCTAAGAAGTTGTGTGCCGTGGTCCCGAGTGGCCCCTCTCGTGTGGCTCCCGTATCCTCTATGCCCTTTTCCTGCCGGGGCCACGCGGTTCCCCACGGCCCACGTGGCCCCCGCCCCCCAAGGGAGGGGGGGATTTCGGGGGTTGCCCGTGACGTGGCTACTTGCGCAGCGGAAGCGGTGTGTAAGTGTGTCTATGTGTGTGTGTGGGGGGGGTCCTTTGGGAGGGAAGGCGGGGCCCAATAGGCAGTGACATCACCCTTGTCCCACTCTCGCCGCCTACTCCCTTAAAGAACCCAGAACCCGTTTCACTTCCTCCTTCGCGCCTCCCCCCACCCCACTCAACCCCACGCTTTTCCCCAACCCGTGCTGGCTCTACCCAAAGTGGACACAACAATCCCCTCTTCTGGGAACCCTCCCTTTAGCCCCAGCTCTTCCCTCTTCTCTCTCACCTTCCTAATCGGGACGTCCCCACACCTAGTATTCCCTCCTCCCCCTCTTCCCCCCCACTCCCTCCCCCCCCCCACCGCAGGTACGGCTCTCCCGAAGGTAGGGCTCGAATCCCGCAGTCCATTTAGAGGCTACAGTACAAAGAGCAGTGAGAAGCGAGTCAGAGTACAAAGCCGCGGGGGCGGGGCCAATGCTCCAGCTGGAGCGTGTGCCAGGCAGGAAGCCGGGGGAGAGCGTGCGGCGTGGGGCTGGGGGCGGCAGGAAAGTTCGCCTTCGCTAAAATGTCTGCCTTACGGGGAAATTTCCACCCAGCCCACAAGGGCAGAAGACGAATTTCTGGTGAAAACAAGCCCACCCTCCTGCAGGAAACCGGCGTCAATTTGTATGAAAGCGCTGGGGCCCCACAGGTCCCGGCATGCCACTCCCCCCGAGGTCAGGTGGGCTCTAGCACCGACCCCTCCTCAGTTCACGTGGGGAACTGTCAGAACTCTCCACACTTGTTTAACAGTAACCAGGCTCCGGGGCAAGTGCAACCCTTAGTTGCAGTCAAGTAGAGCTCAGGCTGGCTGCCACAGCGCCAAAGCCTAGGGGATCCAGAGACCAGAGAGGCGCAAAGAGGATCCTAGGGCACCAGATGTAAGAAAGGTAGAGCCCGGCTAGGGAAGTGTGTCCTGGGCGCTGCCAGTTACCAGGAAATGCAACTTCCCCTTCTGCTATGATGACACTTCCCTTCTGCCATTTCCCCTTTCCCACGGGGAACTGACTCAGCTTTCCCTAAACTAGAGAGTTCCGAGTTCCGTTCGTCCAGCCCTCAGATCTTCAACCTTTATCTCAACCCCCCCCCCCCACCGCACCCAGGAATACTGAGCGCTCCAGGACGAAACTTCCTGTATACTAAACATTCATTCTCGCCAACCACCTCGAATCCTCATCCCCACCAGGGAGCAAGCGCTTGACTCCTCAACTCGCCCCACGAACAAAGCCTCCTCAGGGTCTGATTCAGGCTTGGGAGGTGGGGGTGAATGAGTCACCCAGAAAACCTTCCCTTGTTCCCACTGACTCAGCCCCCGCCTCCCTCGACTCTCACAGACAGAGTCAGTGGCAGACACAACTCCTCAGCCCACACACGGCTCACCGCCGTCCCGCGGAATTTCCCCTCTCGTCTCCCCAGCACGGCCCTCCCCTGCCCGGGGCGGCCCCGCCGCGGCACCTGCGCCGCCGCCGCCCGCCGGCGGTCCACTCTCACCTCCACTCTCGCTAGGGGCAGGAATACCCGCCCCGACTCCCGGTATCCATACTAACCAAGGGGAGGGGACCACCACGGACGGGCACAAAGACAGACACCCACAGACGCCTCGAGGACACACTGGAGGTAGACGCACGCGGATAGAGGCAGGCTGTGAGGGCAACCCATTTCTGGGGCAGCTACCCCAGCCTCTCCGAACCCGACCCACAATCCTGAGACCCAACCGCTCTGAAGGGGTTAATTCCGCTCCCGCCGAGGCCACGCCCTCCCCATCCGGGCACTCCCGGCAAAGCCCGGCTCCGCCCCCTCCATCCGGGCTCTAGACCCGGGGACTTCGGCCGTCGCCGGCGCTAGGTCCCCTCCCTCCGTGGCCCCCCTTCCGCCTTCCCCTTGAGCCACAAGAAAGACCCCCCCCTCCATCAATCACACCTACTTAGCTCTCTCTGGGCTTCAGGCCGAGGAGGCCTGTGCCCAGCACCCTCGCCGCGCCGGCGCGTGGTAAGAGGCCTACTGTGCGCACGCACACGAGACAGCCAAAGCCTGGACCCTGCCGCTAGGGGTTGGGTTGCGCCGAGCAGGCGGTTAGAACGCACGCCGCGCAGGCCGGGGGCTGGGGCGGACTCGGCGCTCCCAGCTGGTCCCCGTCCTGCCGGGTAAAAGCGAGGAGTCACAGGCTCGCTTCTCACCTGGGAGAAGGGGAGGCGGAGGGAGGGCCCCCGGCTGAGACTGGGCTGTGACTCAGCCACCCGGGCAGGCCGCCCGCCCGGGATTCCCTTCCCCAGCCCTCCCTCTCCCCATCCCCCCCCTTCGTCGTCCCCCCCCCACCCCCCCACCGAGGAGTGACAGTGCTGGCCTCGGCCCGCTATGTGTCACTGTGGGCCTTGTGTCTGCTTCTGACTGGGTCCTGTGTTCACCAGTCTGTCTGACAAGGTCGGCAGTGTGTGGATCCTGGTGTCTCGCTCCACACCGTGTGCACCTGCATATCGGCTAATCTTGTCTCCCTCAGAGCCTGTGTCTGCGGCGTTCCTGTCATTATCCCTGTCTACATAATTCTGCGGGACTGTCTGTCTGTGTGTCTGCCTGGCTCTTGTCTTGGTCTTTTGTCTGGATCTGCCTCTGCATCACTGGGGTGATCACGTGTGTCTCTCTCTGCACATGCCCTTCTGTGTTTGCCTTCATTTCTTGAACAAAGTCAGAAACACTGGAGCCAGCTGACCCCACTGACTCCTCTCCTCATTTCCTCAATCCTGATGTTTTGTTGGAGCAGTGATTCTTCAGTCTGGCCAGTTTGAGGGTCTGTCTGCCTGCAAAGCAAGTTGTCCCATTCCTGAACACCTTTGCTTATCTTCACAGTTCCCAGAAGGTCCCATTATAACAATTGCTAGCATTTAGTGAGTATTTATCAGATACTAGGTACTTTGTAAAGCATGTTATATGGGGATTTTCTTTTCCACTCTTACTTAAAAACTAATATAGGAAGTACTTTGATTACCTCATTTTGCAGATGAGGAAATTGAGGCTCAGGAAGGTTAGGTAACCCACCAAGGACATTTTCTGCAAGTAAGGGAAACAGCAGGGCTTATTTCCAGAGTCATATTTCCATTCTTTTATATTACCTCTGTCCTATTCTCCCTTAGTTTTAGCCTTGAAGCCTTCCTATCTCCTAAGCAACCTTCCACCCTGCTCTACCTTCTGTTACCATATGAATTGTCTCATGTCTAGAGTGGGGGTAGGGGGCTGTGCAGCAGAAACCATAGGTTTCTTGGCAATGAAGCTCATTTAGTTAGCACTCATTCAACACAAATCCACAGAGGCACCCCAATGTGCAAACCATCATACCAAACAGTGAGAAATACATAGAAAATAGTCCCAATCAAGAAACTCAGTAATGGAAACACACACACACACACACACACACACACACACACACACACACACACACACACACACACACACACACACACACACACACACACACACACACACACACACACACACACACACACACACACACACACACACACACCCTTGGAGAACATAAGTCCCTACCTTAAAGATGATACCTTTCTTTCCTCCATACTAAAAGTACGGTAAAAAGGGGAATGTAGTAGGGCCTCAGGTAGAAAACTAGTATAAGGATGGAGGGATACAGAATAGAAATAAGACTTGGGATGTGTAGAACAAAAGCTATAGTACATAAGGAGAGAATAGGTCAAAAAGGAATCTAGGAGGAAAGGTGAGATGCTAAGATTGCCATGGCAACAGTGGGCTGCTGTGGTAATGATCTCTACTATCTCCCCACATTAATTTCCAAACACCCTGCATAAGCCAAGCTATTCAACATTCTTAAAGAAGCAAAGCGCCCCCCCCTCCCAAGAAGAAATTCCTCCAGGGAATCTTACATCTACTTTCAGTTTATAAACCCTATAGCTTTCTTCAGTCAGCAATTGAGTTATAACACTGAGTGTGGGATAATGATTTTTGTGTGTGTATGTGTGTGATCATAGAGAAACTAGTGAAGTACAGGGCTCAACCATTTATTAGAGATGGGGGAAGGGGGCTCCATAATCCAAGAGGGAGTGTTGAACCACTCAACTACTTCACGATGGAGGAAACTCAGAGGACTGGATCATTTTGAGGAAAGGCACAATTCATCTCATTCCAAGCATTTTCAAACATGAGGTACAGAATTAGGTTTTGTAGGAAGGGAGCATTTGAGAACTACACTTACCAAATGGAGTTTGGTGTGCCCAGTCTCATCGGAACCAGTGCCCCAATGGTGGGGTGCAGCAGACCACTGTGAGGTGGGTAGTGCTATAGGGCTGCCATGATGTCTAGGGGGAACCTGAAAGAATAAAAGAGAGTTAGAGGTGGGGGGTCTCCCAGGCTGGAGGATTTCCCTGTGTTCCTTCCCTTTCCCCTTCTGGAAGAGAAACCTAGTGGTCAAATGAGATAGAATCTGTTTCTATAGCAACCAGAACAAGCCATTCTCAAAGTGGTCCTCCAAGCTTCCCCTCAGAAGACAGCCTGAACCAGGTGGTAAAGGGTATGCTATGGCATCCAAGTTTACTTGGAGACCAACCCATGGTCCCTGTTCTGACTAGATCCTCCAGCTAAAATTCCCACGTACCAGAGTAGTGCTAGCACCCCTGAGCCACCCCCCCCCATTCATACCTGAGCTAGCCTCAGTCCTGGCCCCAGGGTATTCAAGGCTTGGGTATTCAGGCCTTAGGCCTTCAGCCTGGCTTCCTCAAACCCAAAGGTTCCACACCAACCTTATCAAGACACCAGACAGTCAACCCCACCCCTTGGACTCTGCCCCCTCCCCTTCCCCTAGGCGGATGCAGGCAGGTCCTGGCTAGCAGCACAGGTGGCCAGACTAGATGAACGGGCCCAACAGGGAGGAGCCTTCCTCCACTACAAGAACTGTGACTCTGGGCCTAAGCCTGGAAGTGGCCTCTGCTGCAAGCCCCTCTCCATTCCACCCCCAATGCTGCATCCTGTTTCCCCATCACCTCCTTCCTCTGGGTGGCCATTGGAGGTGACAGAGGCCCATTCCCTTCCCTCCTAACACTCTGAGACAAAGAGCTATGTATTTTAACATGTCTATGGTCAAGAATCAAGTGTCCATCCAGAGGTCAGGCCTCAGTCAACCCTGACCTCATCTCATTCCTTAGGGACCTATGTTTTCCTCTTCCAGAATTGGAACCCTGGTCCCAGACTACAGACTCAAGACACCTGGGCTCCTAGACTAATCTCTCCATTCCCTGGCCTCCTATCCTCCATCTTTGCCTCAGCCCCAGAGATTCAGGCCTTTGGCCCCCAGCCTCCATGATGCAATGTGTTGCAAGCTTCTGTAGTTGCTGATGACACTGCCCCCAGGGAGGTGTTATTTCTGACCCAAGCAAGGCCCCTCACCTGACCAGGGTAGTGGTCAGCTGCAGGCTGAAAAAGCCAGCAAGTAAGTCCCTTTGGCTGAGAAAGGTGCTTGAGGCTGAACCCTCCAGGACAGAGAAGCTCAGAATGAAGGACAAGGGAGCATAAGCTACAGTTGATAGATAGCCTCTGTGTGTGTGTGTGTGTGTGTGTGTGTGTGTGTGGTGTGTGTGTGTGTGTGTGTGTGTGTGTGTGTGTGTGTCTAGCCAAGGGAGAGCGGAAAGGGCTGGCCTTAGACTCAATCAAGAGGAGGTGTGGGGCAGGGAAGGGATCAGAGGGGTAAGTGAGGGGTGTCTGGCCTGGAGTGGGGGAGGGGCCAACAGCCATTTAAAGGGCCAACCCTGTAGCTTTAATCCCTCACCAGCCCTGGCCCCAAGCAGAAGGCTGTAATTCATCTGTCCAACAGCTGGTGTGTGTGTGTGTGTGTGTGTGTGTGTGTGTATACGCACATGCATGCACGCGTGTGTAAGGGGGAAGGGGGGCATGTGGTCGGGAAGGGGGGGCTGGGAGGGGAGGGGAGGAGCTGGGGCTTTCATGTGCACAGACCCAAACAACAAAAGGGGAAGCTGAAGGGCCAGCTCCAAAATGCCCATGTCAGACTGATGACCTGCAGAGCTGCTGGTGGCCCCCACCTGGTGGCCAACAGACTCCATAGTTTGGACTCAAGGATTGTTGGCAAGAAGTCAAAGGACCCAAGGGTGGAGGCCTGGAGAAAGCCCAGTCTGAGTGGCCCCCAGGAAGGCTGTCACTCCTCCCTGAACCTTCCCAGCCGCAGCACTGTACCAGACCTGCATGCCTGGCAACAGACTCAGCTTCAGCCTCAAATGCCCTATTCACTAGCCAAGCCTTCCCAGACATGGCCTGCCGGCTCCCCCTCCTGCCTGCACAGGGTGGCAGCGGCCACACGGAGGCTGTCCCTTTAAATCATGACCACCCCGATGGTGTGGACAAACTAAGGGCCCAGCCCCCCAAGCAGCCGGCTGGCCTCTCTCCACGAGTCCCCCAAATGTGAGGGCCATTTAAAGGGACAACAGAGAGGCAGCAGGTCTCTAACCTACCCCACTCCCTCTCCCCACCCATACTCATAGCCCCTTTTCCCAGCAACAAACAGCTCTCTGCCCCTCCAGAGGGCCCCCCAAATTCCGGTTCTCTCCCCACCCCTACAGACGGCTAGGAGAAGGGGGGGCCAGGTGTTGGGGGGTTCTGGGTGAACATGAAAAGGAGAGGGACTCCCACCTCCCTCAAAACCCCAGGGGACAGGTCAGAAGGGAAAGAAGATCCCGGAGAAAGAGCAAGACGGCACTCGGAAAGGTGCCTTGGGCAGACCTAGGGCACACAGGCTGTGGGGCTAGGGAGAAGGAGTCTGGCTGCAGGAGGCGGCGGGTGGCACAGCCAGCGGGCGACAAGCCTAACTGGGGGAGATGGAACAAGGAAGGACTAGGGAAAAAGGCAAGGCCGGGAAATAGGGGGAGACGGAAAAGCGGAAAGGGGTCATCCGGGAGGGTATGGAGGAAATTCAGGGGGGGGAGGCAAGCCAGGCTGGGGTTACCTGCTGGGTGTCTGTCCCCCGGCGGTGCCCCCAGAGTCCGGGTAGGGAGGGGGGAAAGCAGCAGGGGGGGGAGTGGGGGCTGGGGGGGCGGGGGAGACAGTCCCTCCTCTGCCTCCTGGGCCTGCCCCGGCGCTAGCAGCCTCTGCCTCCCTCCCTCCTCCTCCCCGTCCCTGAGTCCCGGAGTCAAACAAAGAACTGTAGCAGGCTCTCCCCAACCCCCTCCCTCCTCCTCCTCCTCCTCCTCCTCCACCTCCTCCTCCTCCTCCCCTCTCTCCCTCCCCACCAGCAGGCTCCCTCCTCCTCCCTTCCGGTCTCTTTAACTACCCTCTCCTCCAGCCCCCTTCTCTCTCCACCCACCCACCCCAATCTTTTACACACCCCTTATCCTTGCCGGCTCCCCGCCTGGGAAACTATTCAGTCCGGTCGCAAAATGAAAGGCTCGGGAGAACAACATGGGAGGGGACTGGGGTCTTGATTCAAAATCACGAATCTCAACACGATTATTTTCACAGCCAAAGGGATAGTCCGTAGCTATTTCATCTCCGAGAGGGGGGAAAAATAATAAGAAAGCAATACAAATCTGACTAAAGTCTTCATCAAATAAAGTACACAAAGCAATCCAAGCTAATCCTCCCCCCCCTCCCGTGCCCCCAAATTAACACAAACTCTCCACTCCTCCCTAACCAACTCCTAAGGTCATGGCTCATTTGGAACAGGCCTACTGACTATAGTAAAAAAAAATCATAATATCATTTGGCAAGGAGTATTTAATAGCATGCATTCATTCAAATGTTCATTCTGTACCAGGCACTGTACTAAGGGCTTTACATAAATTATCTTACTTTTCCAATCCCATCTACCTTAAAGGTAGGTATGAATATTAAAATTTCTCAGAATAAGAGTATGAAGCTCTAAGAGGCTTTGACCTTTCAAAATCCCTGACAAGCTGGGATTAGAATCCAGGTCTGGCCTGACAGCCTAAACTTGGAGGCACATAAAAATGCATCGCAACGCAAGCTCCAACTCCAAGACTTAACTCACTGAGGACAGCCATAGCTATCACTGAATCTTTCTCCCCCAAGTGAGCAAAGCCAGAAATTGATCCACCTACCTACACAGAATTAAAACCTTGACTTTTCAGCTTAATACAGTTTCTTGACCCTTGTCTTCAGTTTGGGGAGGGGAGTAAGTCACAGGGGCTAAAAGGACAGGAGCTGCTGTGTATCCACACACACACACAACTCTTAGGGGCAGCTGTCTGCTTGCAACCACTCCCACTTCAACTCAAGATGGAGAAGGGGCAATATGACACTAGGCTAGGCAGCAGGTGAGAAAGTAAAAAGATTTGTAGAAGGTTCGTCCAAGGAGGAGGGGGGGGGGGTGGAGGGGAAGCTCTTCGGTGCCAATCTAGGGAAAAGTGACCCAGGGTTCTCCCAGCCCAGCCAAGGGGCAAAGTCTTTCAGCCACACTACACCCGTGCCCCTCCCCCTCACAAACTCCAGTCCGGGGTTTCCCACCTGCAGGATGCGAAGACCAAGGGAAGGGAGACAGGAAAGAGACGGCACGGGACTGGAACTGGACTCGGGGCAGGGGTGGGAGGGAATGTAAGTGTGTGGGGGGGGGGATAGGCCTCATTGCCTGGCAACCATCCCGGGGCACGTGCACGGGTGACATCATCCCAGGCCACCTTTAACACAAACCTTTGACTCGGCAGGGGCCAAAGGGGCCGCTGGCTAAGCTTCCTGAGGAGTAGCCTTAGGAATTCTGGGAACTCAAAAAGAAGACTTTTAAACCCAGGCGTCCTGCTTTTTTTTCCTCCCTCTTAGCCCCAACAGGACTCCAATCCGAGGGACTCAAGCTTCTCGTCTGTCACTTCCTGCCTCTAGCCCTGACCTCCCAACCCACTTTTCTGTCGGGACTCCCGACACGCCCTTCAGAGATACTTTGCCTTCTTTCCTGGGCGAGATCTCTGATGGGGAGTGGGGGGGGGGGACGGGGTACAAGGTCCCGCGGGGATCCGTCTATCTGCGGGGTCCCCCGTGCCCCAGCTGGCCGCCAGCCGGAATCTGTCTGGGTCCCCAACTCTCCCGCCCCTCCCGCGCCGTTCCAGGGCGGAGTCTGTGGAGTTGAAATCAGGACACGCCGTGAAGGAAGAGTTATATAACTCGGAGAAAGAAAAGGACGAGTGGAGACGGGGACAGATAGCCCGAAAGAAGCCAGGGAGGTGCGAGGAACGTCAGAGCGCTTGAGGAGGAGACTTGAGGGCTGGGAGGGTCTGAGGACTCGTCGTAGAGCAGGGATTGGGGCGAAGGGGTGTGATCACACCGGGGCAGTCACCTGGGTCACCCAGGGCTGCCCAGCTACGCCTTTCCCCGCCATCGACTGCGGGGCTGGGCCCTGGCGGGCGGAGGCTGTACCCGTCTCTTTGTCTAGGGGAAGAGACCTAAGCCGGGAGCCGGGAGGGCAGCCGCGGAGCTCACGAGACCGGAAGGCACGGCTCCGCCCAGCTCACCTGGGAGCTTGGAGAGGGCGCCAGTCGAGAGGGCGGCGGGAACAGGTAGCCGGCCCTCCCACTTGAGGCTCGGCCTTAATCGACTGCTGGCAATAAAGAGCGGAGACAGATCCTTACGTTTGGGCCCTCAGGGGATGAGGAACGCGGCCGTGAACTACGCTAGTTCTCAGATTCCAGCGTCGGGGGACGGAACGCGCCCGACGCGAACGCGCAGGCGCAAGGGGCGCGTGCGGAGGTGGGAGGGGGCGCAAGCGAGCGTGTGGGAGTGCACGTGCGGGTCCCGGGCAGCCACCGCCTCCCTCCCTCCGCCTCCCGCCCCCCTCTTCCCGTCACCCTAAAATCCCCTCTTCCTATTGGTTGCCATGGCTCTGACGTCGGTAACGTCCGTTGCAGCAGATTGGGCCAGTGGAGTTCGGGAATCTAGCTCCCGACTCTCGCTCGGCTGTTACTCTGGCAACTGAGCAAGCCACCCGTGGGAGGTGCGACGGGCGAAGTGGAGAGGCGCCCGGGGTTCCGCCTCCCTCCAGACAACCTGAGTCCAGTTCTGTGGTGCATCATCAGCTCGCGCTACCTCCCTGCCTTCCTCTAAAGGTTCTTGTGTCCCGGAACGAGGCGTTCTGTTCTCAACTTTCCCCGCAGTCTCCAGCTTCTCATTCCCTCCACCCACCCACCCCCACCTCAGACTCAGCCACAAGCCACAGCTGACAGGAAGCCGATCTGCGTTGCTTAGTAACCCACCCGCCTCTGCCCCCCCTCCGACTCCCCCAGGAGGGAGAAACAGCCTGAGACCCTAGTCACCTCCCCACGCTTTGCCTTTCGCCCTCCAACCCACAGGTTCCTGTGAGTGGGTCAAGATGACAGGAAGCCAAATGGGGGCATCAGGCCACCTTTCCCCTCAGACCGGGGCGGGGGGCCTTAACTGTGGTCACCGCCACGTTCCCCACCCGCGCGCCCCTCGACTCCGGGCATGCTCGCGTCTCAGCCTCGCCATCTCGTGGCTACGCTGGAAAGGTTCAGCACCAGTGAGGGCCCCAACCCGAGCGAAGGCTAGGAGACCGGTGACGGGAAGAGTGGGAGCAGAACCGGGGTGGGGGGGGGACAAGAGCAGAGCGAGGTCGCGTGACAGGTGGAATAGAGTGGGATGAGGGGGAAAGCTACTGCTGGGGCTCTCGGGGCTCCTTAGGGGAAGACTGAGGCTACACCCTTCACTGTTAACGAAGAACTGGCGTGAGACTAAGTGGCTGGAGGAGTGGAGGCACACCCAGGTCCGGCTACGTCTGACCCTGGTAGACCACGGCATTGACCTGTCTGCAAACTGCCCTTTTATTTAGTTCTGCCCTTCAATTAGGATCGCTGCGCCCCGCCCTACTGTCGGGAGGGAAATGTCAGCACAAGGGTAGACTGGGAGTCCTTTCAGGCCCCTCTAGACCTCTGGAAACCTCTGGAACCTCTAGCTGCAAGCCAGATCTTCTTCCACTCCTCTGCTCTCTTTGGGGGGATACGGATGCTCCACGCCCTAGTCTTCCTAGTGCCTTTCCCAAGACCCCAGCGGCTATCCCCAGCCCATCCCGAGTCCCTCCGGCCACTCTGACGTCCCTTCCCCCTGCGCAGGGCTGGTTTCCCTCTTCTCAAACGCCCTTGCGGCGGCCCGTTACCTGGTTCTGGGGGGTCCCAGGTATTCAGGCTCCCCAGGGTCTCCTGGGGGTCGAGCGGGCCCCCCCTCTCCCAGGCTAGGGCTGGGGGGGCCGCTCCGCCCCGTGGCGCAGTTGGATTTTCCAACACAAACACTGGCACCCCTGCTGCTCCCCAGCCCCGCCCCCTCCCCGAGGTTCCGCCCCTCCTTGAGCTGGAGTCCCTCTCCCAGGCTCCGCCCCGCCCGCGTCAGGCGCCGCGCGCCCGGCTCGGTGCCCGGTGGGACACAGGGTGCGAGGCTCGGGGTGCCATGTGTGGGGTCCGTCCCCGATCTTCGCCTGACAAACTCCTATTCTATTTGGATCCCGCGCTCTTCCAAGGTAAGCCCCGCCCCCCTAGGCCCTGCCCTGAGATTTAGCCACACCTTTAGGTCCCACAGACCTAGCCCTTTAGTTCAAGGCCACACCTCCTTTTCTCTTGAGGCCGCTGAACTTGCTCTCCTCTCTTCCTCCTCTCTCCTCTGTCTTTCTGTCTGTCAGTGTGTCTGTCTCTCTTTCTCTCTCTCCCCTTCCTTCTTCTTTCTCTCTTTAGCTTCTCTGGCGATGGTAGCTCACAAGTAGTTCTATTCTCAGAAAGGTGCAGGCTTCCTCTCCCACGTAATCCCTATCATTCCATTGAAGAGACTTAAGAGTTTGGGGTCGCAAATGTTTTACTGCACTGAGCTACAGTACAACCTTTATACCTTTTGCCTTAAGTTTGTTTTTCAGATTCAGCCAAGGTCAAAGCCTGATTAAGGTCCAGCCTTAATAGGAATTTCATTATCGCCAACACTCTCAAAAACAGGAGAGAAGAGGAAGCTCCTCAGCTGTCCAGGCTCATGAGTAGAGCAGTGCCCCTCTTGATCCAGTGATCAGATGTCATAGCCCCAGATCGAAGGTCTATGCCGATGATAAAGGAGGCTCGATCTGAGGTGCCTGCCCGGTTGGGATAGTAATAGCAGGGACAAGAGTACATGCCTGGGAAAAGTAGAGAAAAAGAAATTAGATCCCTGGAGACTCTGGGAGAACCATTTGGGAGCAAGTGAGGATTAGAACCAAAAATGAGTTGGGATCCAAAATAAGATGGGTCAGGCAGGGCTGGGGCAGCGGTCCTACCCTTGGCACTCTTCTTGCGGCTCTCTGCAGGTCGAAAGTGGATTGTGGGCATGAGGCAGACCAGCTGCATGGGCTCTGCCTCCACCAAGCACGAGTTCTTCCAGTCCCAGCCAGCACCCTCCAAATATAGGCCTCGAACCCACACACCATCCTGGGGAGAGATAAGTGCAGTTTGGTGACCTTAAGTACTCAGCCCCCCTGACTAACCCTTCTTTCCTCCCCCAATTACTTCCCACTTTTGCTCCCAACACCCTCCTCTGCCAGACCATCTTTTAACAAAGCCCAAGTTCATGTGCCCCCACCTTGGGTGGATACACTAAGTTGCTGTCATCCACAGTGGAAACGATAAACTCCCAGGAGAGGCAGTCCACTGAAATCTAGGAGTCAAAGGTGACAGTAAAAGAGGTGCCTAGAGGGCTGGGAAGGTGGCTCAGTGGTAGAGCGCTTGCCTTGCATGCATGAGGCCCTGGGTTCCATTCCTCAGCACTATATAAGCAAAAAGAAAAAAGCTGGAAGTGGCGCTGTGGCTCAAGTGGTAGAGCGCTAGCCTTGAGGTGAAGAGCTGAGGGACAGCGCCCAGGCCCAGAGTTCAGGCCCCACGACCAGACCCCCCCCCCCCACAAAAAAAAGAGGTGCTTAGAGAGGAGAGGAAATATGTATTCATAGTATGCCTTCCCTTCTCCTTCCTTAATGGTACTCACATTATTTTGGCGAGCCGACGACTGCAGCACAGCAGTGAGGAAACCAGTGGGAAAGGTAAAGCCAGACAGCCAGAAAAGCACAGGAGGCCGTGCACGACTAGCCCATAGTTCAAACTGCTCCACGCGCAGAGCCAAATCCCGAGTCCATGAAGCCAACGGCTTTTGTGAGGGATATGCCTGGGGGAGGAGGCAGGGCATGTGTCGATTCATTCCACTTAGAACCTTATTTTGAACACTTGAAACAGCTGTGAGAAGTGGTGTTATTATGTAACTGTAACCCCTCTGTGTATCACCTTTGTAATAATCATTAAATTTTTTTAAAAAAGTAATGTGAGCTCCTTTCCAACTATGGTTGGACAAAGCTTTCAAGAAGCCAACTCCCAGGAAAGATGCATAAAATGGCAACTATTTATTAATGATATCAGTACAGGGCAAGTAACCTTTACTTTCACATAAGGTTAGAAGTTTTCCAAATTCAGAATTTCTTAGATTTTGGACTATTCACCTACCCTTTTCACATACACTTAGTTGAAGATCCATAACCCAAAAATCCAAAATCTGAAGCTTTTTGAGGATCACGTTGCACTCAAAAAGTTTCAAGCCATTAATCAGTATACATTGTGTTCATGAGTGGAAATGTCACACTGAAATCCTCCTTGTGCAACTAATCTGTAACCTAAACGTTCAGCTCTGTGCCTATAGCTCATCCTGTACTACTACTCAGGAGGCTGAGAGCTGGAGAATTAATATTCCAAGCCATCCTGGGCAGAAAAAGTCTTAGGGACTCCATCTCCAATTAACTAGTAAAATGCTGGACTGGAAGTGTGACTCAAGTGGTAGAGCAACGAGCAAGAAAGTTGAGGTTGAGGTCCCAAGTATAAGTTCTAGTATTGGAATACACAAAAAACGTTTCAAGCCAGGCATGATTGTTGACTGCTTATAATCTAAGCTATTAAGGTTTGATGCCAGACTGAGCAAAGTTAGTAGGATTCTTATCTGAAAAACAAACTTAGAGCAAAAGGGGGCATGGTTCAAGCGGTAGAGTATCTAGGAAACATGAGGCTCTGAATTGAAAAAATCAGTACAGAAAAAAGTAAGTAAATCAGACAAATGCATTTAACATTTTTGAATTAGGCATCATTAATGAAGCACCTCCTGTGCAATGTACAGTACTGGACATTTTTTTTTCGGTCGGTCATGGGGCTTGAACTCTGGGTCTGGGCGCTGTCCCTCAGCTCTTCAGCTCAAGGCGAGCGCTCTACCACTTGAGCTACAGTGCCACTTCCGGTTTTCTGGTGGTTTTTTGGAGATAGGAGTCTCACGGTCTCTCCTGCCCGGGCTGGCTTTGAACCGCGATCCTCAGATCTCAGCCTCCTGAGTAGCTAGGATTACAGGCGTAAGCCACCAGCACCCGGATAGTACTGGACATTTTTGAAACATCCTTGGAAAGGTTTGTAACTTTCCCTGAATACAACTGTAAGATAATAATTTGTGCAGAGTGGTCAGGTAAATGGAAGAGCCTGATTTCAACCTTGAAACTGTCTGGCTTCAACGTGCAGATCTTGCCAGGTGAGAGGGGCTCACATCTGTGATCCTAGTTATTCAGGAGGCTGTAATCTGAGGATTTAGGTTTGATGCCAGCCCTGGCAGGAAATTCTGGCCAGCAAGCCCATGAGGATCTTACCTCCAATGAACCACCAAAAAGCTGCAAGTGGAGCTGTGGCTAAAATGGTAGACTGCCAGCCTTGAGTGAAAAAGCTAACAAACACAAACACCACCTAGGTCATGATTTCAAGCCCAGACCTTCTGCACTTTCCTATATGCCTCCTGAGAACCAGAAGATGAAGATGCCCCACAGGTGAGAGAAGAAAGCTCTGTATTCAACCCTGGAAGAATAGAGTAATGTAATCTTGCCTTTCCCCAGAGTGGAGGAACATGAGCATCAAAGATGCAATTGAAAATCTCTTCAAGGCTTGTTGACATGACTATGAGACCCTGGATGCCTTTCTCCAGATCTGTCAGTGAGGTCCTGAATAGAATGAGATGGGTGGAGTGTTAGACATGGCACTGGCCAAGGGTAAAGGTCCTTCCTCTGTCCCCTGCCACTTTCTGCAGTGCCCACACCATCTTACAGGATGGTATCCATCAGCTTGTTATATCTCTGGATCTCCTGCAGGAGGACCACATTGAGGGGCGACGGGTCCAGAGCGAGCACCTTTTGGGTCCCTTCATAGTCAATCATCTCCGGAATCTTCTGCTTTACATCAGCAGCTAACTCCAGGACCTGAGGGGGCCAGAGCTCTGAGTGCAGTCGCCCTTCCTCAGCACTTTCCCTCCCTCAGGGAATCCAGCTGCTCCTACCTTCTCTTCCCTGCTCTGGCTGCCAGCCCTGGTGGGTGTGATCTGGGGTTGCAGGGAAAGCAGAGTCTCGAAGAGGGTTCTTGCCTCAGTAATCTGGGAGGCCACGTCAGCATTGGGGTGCTGGCCAAAGGCTTCAGGGGGATCCATGCCAGGCAATAGACTGATGTATTCCTTGTAAGAGGCCAGGGCCCCATCTTTGGGAATGAAATAAGTCTCCAAAACAGACAACCTGAGTGAGTAAGTATCACCACATTACAGCACTTGGGCCTCAATGATCCCAGTCCCTATGCCTGTCCCATTTGTCCTTCCCTCCATCCCTATCTGTCTTCTCTTAAACTCCCATTCTAGCCTCAGTCACTTCCCAAACCCTGATCCTGCCACCTCAACTGTTTGGGTCCTTGTGGCCCTTCTCAGTGTCAACAGCCCTTACCGGTAGAAAGTTGTTGACAGAGCCTGGTCACAGAAATAGTCATTGATGTAGGTGGTGAGCAGACGCCGGTCCCAGTCATCTGTTACATGGCCACCATAGTTGACGCCAGCAATGAGGTACTTGAGTGCGTCCCAGGGTGTATCCTCATAATCATCCAGGTAGAGTCTCAGCAGGCTTTCTGATACCTGTGCATGGTACAGACCCAAGCCCCCCCAGCCCCATACAGTTATGGGGAAGGCACCTCTCAAGGAAGATTTTACCACAGGCTTCCTATAAGTTGCTGTTCCCAGGGAACAGCAGAGAAGGATGGAGGGAAGGCTGGAATGAGGGATCAGAGATTAGTACAAACCTCAAAGTCAGAATCATTGAAGTCGTAGACAATGTTCCAGCCAAGCTGCAGAAACTTTTTGCGTTCGAGTAACACAGAGTGGAAAAAGCAGAGTGCAAACAGCAGCTTCTTATATTTGGCAGGTCTGATGCAGCGGGTGAACTGTGGTTCTGTCATCAGTTGGT